AGCAAGACTCTGTCTCAAAAAACAAAAAACAAAAAACCAGCATAATTGGCCAAGTATCTGGAAAGAAACAAAAATGGAACCCCGTTTTACAACATATACCAAAATATATTCCAGATGCACCAATCCTTAAGTGGAAAAAAGAAAAAAACTATGATAACCTCAATAAAAGTTAGGTTAGGAAACTATATATAGTTCAGTTCTGGAAAACTGGAAGCCATTACAAATGAATACAGTTGATTGTTTATGTATTTTTTTTTTTTTGAAACAGAGTCTCACTATGCCACCCTTGGTAGAGTGCTGTGGAGTTACAGCTCACAGCAATCTCAAACTCTTGGGCTCAAGTGATTCTCTTGCCTCAGCCTTCCAAGTAGCTGGGACTATAGGTGCCTGCCATAATGCCCGGCTATTTTTTGTTGCAGTTGTCATTTTTGTTTAGCTGGCCTGGGCTGGGTTCAAACTTGCCACCTTAGGTGTATGTGGCTGGCACCATAACCACTGTGCTATAGGCACTGAGCCTACCTATTTTGTTTGTTTTTTGGGGGGGAGGGTTTGAGACAGAGTCTCACTTTGTTGTCCTTGATGGAGTGCCATTTTGTCACAGCTCACACCAACCTCACCATGTCTTGGCGTCATACCTCACAGCAACCTTGAACTCTTGGGCTCAAGTGATTCTCTTGCCTCAGCCTCCCAAGTAGCTGAGACTACAGGCACCTCCCACAATGCCCAGCTATTTTTTTGTTGCAGTTGTCACTATTGTTTAGCTGGCCTGGGCCAGGTTCAAACCTGCCACCCTCAGTGCATGTGGCCAGCACATGCACAACGCTATAAAAATCTCACAACACTATAGATTTATTACCCTATATATTTTTATTCTTTTAAATACTAAATAATTACTGGGGTGTTGTGGTCCCAGCTACTTGGGAGGCTGAGGCAAAAGAATTGCTTAAGCCCAAGAGTTTGAGGTTGCTGTGAGCTGTGACATCACAGCACTCTACCAAGGGTAGAGTAAAAAAAACCCAAGTAAATAATTATTTGCATGTTCCATTATGAAATGAGCTTACAATACTTTTTTTTTTTTTTGAAACAGAGTCTCACTCTGTTGCCTAAGCTAGAGTGCCAATGCATCAGTCTAGCTCATAGAACTTCAAACTCCTAGGTTCAATCAATCCTCCTGCCTTAGTCTTCTGAATAGTGGGGGCTATAGGTGCCCACAAAGATGCTGAGCTAATTTTTCAATTTTTAGTAGAGATAGGGTCTGGGTCTTGCTCAGGCTGGTTTCAAACTCCTGAGTTCAAGTAATCTGCTGCCTTAGCCTCCCAGAGTGCTAAGATGACAGGCATGAACCACCTCATTCAGACTAAGCCACATTTTAAAAACTGGAAAGGATCAATGTATTATATTAATAAAGCCACTATTAACATTACTTCAATTCATTTTAAGTAGGATTTGTCCTTTTTATTTTATTCAACACCCCATAAGTATTTTTCCATATTAATACTGTTTTTGTAGTCATCATTTAATTGGCTGAATAAGTGGTTTGACAATGTTTACTTAATTGTAAACCATCTGTTTTATTTTATTTTATTTT